GCTTGGCATAGAGTTAGTGCAGAGTAATTACTTAAAGAAAGGCTAAATTAATTGAAAACATTTTTTCCTTATATAACATATATACTCAATACAAAAATTGGATAAATGATTTAAAACACCTTGTCTATTGTTTTTAGGAAAACATATATGCTACATTTTTCAATATAATATTTTAAAAAAGTTATTTCAGCTTTAAAAAGTTTCAAAATTAATTACAAATTCAAGATTTCCTAAAATTTATAGAAATTAAAGCTGAAAAGATGATTACTATTGAGAGAAATAAACCTTTAATAATTGTATTTTAATTATAATAGTGAATATTAAAGCACATTACTGATTAATCAATCAATCTAGATAAGAGCCTATTTGATCTTTTTGACTGGTCTTTCCAAATCTGTGTTGTATACACTATGTTTCTCTTGTATTTTCTAAATGAAAAAAGACTTGATCTTGTTTATTTGTATAAGCCTTTTAAAGGTGTATTAAATAAGTTTGTAGTTAAAAATTGTGAAAACCCATCCTTTTCGTGTTGAAAATTCATTTCACTATCAATACATAACAAACACATCTATCTGTGATATGAAACAATTACTGGATAAATAAAACTTTTTAGAGGTAAATCATTTCTGTATTTAAAACAGAAATCAACACAGAATCAAAATAGAAGCTAATGTAATAAAAGCTATCTAATACGGCCCTCTGAGAGCTGGTCATTTAGCCAGGCATCATACAGCTATCTTATAAATAATAACCAATTCATTTTACAAGTCTTATTTTAATTGTTTACTAAAAATTCTCCAAATAAGTAAATCTTTCTTAAAGTATAGGAACTATGCTTTAAAAGAGGGCTGACAAATTTGGAAAAATGTCATTTCAGGGGTTTTATATAGGAAAAGTTCAGTTAATTTTACAGGTACCTGCATAAGTCATAGCAAGGTAGTTTTTGAACCAGCTCCTGGAGTAATGGAAATAAAAGCAAAAATACAAATGGGATCTAATTAAACTTAAAAGCTTTAGCACAACTAAGGATACCATCAACAAAACAAAAAGACAACCCATAGAATGGGAGAAAATATTTGCAAATGATGTGACCTACAAAGGACTAATTTCCAAAATACACAAACAGCTCATACACCTTATTATCAAAAAAACAAGCAACCCAATCAAAAAATGGGCAGAAGACCTAAACAGAGATCTCTCCAAAGACATACAGATGTCCAATAGGCACATGAAAAGATCAACATCACGAATTATTACAGAAAAACACATCAAAACTATAATGAGATATCACCTCACACCAGCCAGAATGGCTATCATTAAAAAGTCTGCAAACGACAAATGCTGGAGAGAAACCCTCCAACAATGTTGGTGGGAATGTACATTGGTGCAGCCACTATGGAGGACAGTATGGAGGTTCCCTTGAAAACTAAAAATAGACTTACCCTATGATCCAGCAATCCCACTCCTGGGCATATACCCAGAGAAAATATAATTCAAAAAGACACCTGCACCCCAATGTTCATGGCAGCAATATTTACAATAGCCAAGACATGGAAACAATCCAAATGTCCATCAACAGATGACTGGATAAAGAAGATGTGTGTGTGTGTGTGTTTATATTTATATATATAATGTGTATATATGTAATGGAATACTACTCAGCCATAAAAAAGTATAAAATAATGCCATTTGCAGCAACATGAATGGACCTGGAGATCATCGTTCTAAGTGAGGTAAGCCAAAAACAGAAAGAAAAATGCCATATGATATTGCTTATATGTGGAATCTAAAAAGAAAAGGACAAAAATGAATGACTTATTATTTATAACTTAGATGATTATTTCTTGAATATGTGTAAGCACATTTGACTGTCTTTTATGACTGGATTACTGCGTTATGTTGATTCTTATTTTGGCTTTATTCCTTTGATAATTATGTAAGTTTAAAATACTAAAGCTCTAAATTGTTCTTAGAAACAAACAGTATATACATGTAAAATTTTAAAAGATGTATATAGAAATAAAATATTATGTCTATGAGAGAGAAAAAAAGAAACTGGCAAACTGTTTTCTAAAGTGGCTGTGTGATTTTATGTTCCCACCAGCAGTGTATGAAAATTCCAGTTGCTCCACATTTTTGCCAACATTTGGCAAGATCTGTCTTTTCAATATTAGCCACCCTAAAAGGTAAATTAGTATCTCACTGTGATTAATTTTGCATTTCTCTAATGACTAATGATGTTGAGCATTTCCAGGTGTTTTTGCCATCTATATATCTTTCTTTGCTAAAGTATTCAAATCTGTTGCCCATTTTTGATTGAGTCTGTTTTTGCTTTTTTAATGTAGAATTTGAGAATTCTTTTTATATTGTGGATACAAATTCTTTATCAGTGTGTGATTTGCAAATATTTTATCCTAGTCTCTGTCTTATCTTTTCATTCAGAATGTCTTTCAGAGAGCAGAATTTCTTAATTTTGATAAAACCCAATTTATCACATTTTTGTTTAGTGATTTATATTTTGGGGTTATAGCTAGGAAATCTTGGCCAACCAAGTTCACAAAGATTTTCTCTTATTTTTTTCCTAGAAGTTTTAGGTTTTACATTTAGGTCGAGGACTCTATTGAGTAAATCTGTGTATACAATGAATGTTATTGATCAAGTTTTTTTTTTTTTTTGGTAAGTGGATATACTATCATTTTGACACCATTTGTTGAAAACATTCTTTCTCTATTGAATTGCCTTTGTACTTTTGCTGAAAATAATTGACTATATATGTATAAATCTATTTCTGTTTTCTCAATTCTTTTCCAATGACTTACTTGCATATGTTGATGTCAATACCACAAAAAAAAGTAACAAAAAAAAAAACCCAACAAAAACTACAGGTTCCTGTTAGATTTACTTTAACAGCATTATACTGCTGCCTTACATTTAACTGAGGATTAGGGAATCACTTTTTGTGTTACACAAATACTAAACTGATTATTTTATATCTTTAATCTCGACAGTTTGTCTTTTGTGACTATTTGACATATTTTACATTGCATAGCCTCTGAAATTTCCTGGTATCATGTAAGGTGTTATTAAATTCTCTCATTTTGGCATTACTGGAATCTTAAAGAGTACATTGTCAACTCTGTAATAAACATTACTGATAAGGGTAGTAAGAAAACTATAAATAAGTATGGAACACATCCCTATTAATAAGAAACAAGATACACTCTTACAGGTCATTACTTCATAAATTCTTGGAAGATATTACATGATTCTTGAAGTTGCATGGTTTTACTAAATTAACCTACAAGCAAAAGGTAAATTCCTTCCATAAAATATACTTGTCCTTGATTATAAAAAAATTAAAGCAAAAAGTTGCTGCCCTCTGAAAGAACATTCTTAAATTAATCCCAACTATATATAAGTTCATATTCTAGGAATGTGCAGGGAATTAGGCATAGCCATTTTAAATCAAATCATTTCAAAATACAAATGTAAATCATTAGAACTTACATTTCAAAACTCACATAGAGACATGACATTATTTCAATTTCTAGCAATTATCTATATTGTAGACACAGAGAACTGTGAATAATCACATAGTTTGACGTGTTTGAAAATACAAACACTAAATTTTTTAAAAGAATTTTATTATATTTCTTTATATGCCAATGGAAATGATGCTGGAAAAATAAGTGTTTTTGTGTGCTGAGCTATTTATACATATTCTTTTCCTCTTATTTTCGTCTCTTTATCTTTTTAATTTACATTTCCCTTTCTGCCTGCTTTCTCATTATTTTCTCCTTATGATGACCTTTGATATTCTAGTTTTATACTCATTTCTAACTAAGTAAAAATATTGCTAATTGAGACTCTACTTAGAATTTTAGACAAATCAGACACAGCTTGCTAAGTTTTATCGATTCAAATTGAGTGAATTATATGAAACCATGACATAACTATAAATAAAACACAGCATCAGCTTTAAGTTGTTTAAAGTTTAGTGGAATTAATAAGACATATATGTAAAAGTAGAAAAAGTCTAAATAAAGAGGGTATAGGATAAATTTCATAAAAATGGTAAATGGGGAGACTGCAACTAGTTGATAGTCTGTTCCAAAAGAAATATAAAAGTTTAAGAAAATTTCCTGCCTTTAAAACATTAAAATCTTGTTGAAAAGATAAGACATAAAACAATATGTAATGCTATGACAATAATTACACTAGCAAAAAAATTATAATGATAGTAATAAAAATAGTAATAATAACAACAACAATAAAAAATAACAATTATTGTTATTGAATTGAATGCTTCTGTGTGCCAGGCATTCACCCATTTTATTATGTTTAACCTTTACAACAATCTTTATTTCAAGTATGAGGAAAATTATACCTTATTTTTTAAGATTCCCAATAAGCAATGAAACTTAAAGTTGAAACAAAGTTTGTCTGATTCAAAAGTTTTATTATTAAGCTTTTATTATACTACTTTAAAAAATGAGTTTAAAAATGATAGTAAAAGTTTGAATGTGGCTGAAGTAGTCCTGAAAAAATTCACAGATGGGTTATGCTATGTCCTGGACTCTGAAGGAGGAGGTATCTTTTAGGAAAGAAAAGAAAGAAGAAGGATATTTTGGGTGTTCAAGCATGGTGAATAAGATGAATGAGAAGTGTTTTCATTATTCTATTTACTTACACAATTAAACACTGTTTAAACTTTTTACTAATTCAAATAGGCTTGTCCATGGTGAAGCTTTTTTTGGCACTGTTAATTGTGAGACAGACAAACAACTAGACTCTTATTTTCTTAAACTGGCATACCTGAATTTGAATTGAACTAAGATTAGATATTAAAGTTATTAGAAAAATATCATAATTCTTTCTGGACTTGGAGGAAAGATTGTTCCCATATTTTATCGAGTCAAAATCATAACTTTCACTGTGTATTGGTCACTTTTGACATAAGGACTTTCCCTCTAAAAAGACAATGAAACACATTTGCTTACCTTGTATTACATGTGAGTTGTCTTTCAAGAAGAAGTTATACAGGTATTTGGGAATAAAAGCAGACATACACGCGTAAGCCAAGGCTAAGAAAGAATAAGGCAAATATAAAAACTTAGTTAATGAGGTAAATGATCAGCAGTCACTCATTCACTTAACACACATTTTTTGAATTTATTTTTTAACAAGAATTTTGTTAATAAATGAAGGAAGCACAAAATTAAAGGGGAAAAGAACCCTCTACTATTTAAAACAGAAAATATTTTGGACATCAAAAGATAACCACCCAAGTAACTTTTCAATTTTAAACTACCGTGGCAATCGTCATCCCACAAGAATAAAAACCTTAATACCAGAACTTTATGCATTTTAAAAAATCTCTAAACATAATCATTATTAATGAGCTATATAAATCTCGAGATCCTTAATCTTTGTTGATGCAAACAAAATAGCCTGAGAACTTTGGATTTAGAAATACTAGTAATAAATTGCTCTCTCAAACACAGATCTCTTACTATTCCTGGGTCAAATACATGTGTTAACAGACTATGCCTAACTAAACACAGTAAAACCTGTAGTCTAAAAAGTAATATCAGAGAACAGGGATTTTAAAAATGATTCAAATAGTAACATTTTAGTTCTCTGGGATTATGCCATTTCTACTCAATTCCAGAAACCTATGCAAATTCTGATGTGAAATACAGTTTGAAAAGATAGAGATTCTGAGACTGAGACTTCTAAAGATTTATGCTATGCTAACATTCTCTATCATTGGGGACAGTCATAATAAATATTCAAATATTTATTGAAAAAGCTACTATAAAAAAGGCATTATATCAGGGGACAGAAGACAACCCCTTGTCATTAAAAAAAGCTGCTAACCTAAAAAAAGGGTTACTATAATTATAAAAGAAAACACACAAGATAAATTTCTGGAGATACAAGGTGTCATACGGATTCAGGAGGGTGAGTAAGAAAAGTCTTCATTAAGGAGGCAGTGGTTGAAATGATAGACTTTGGAGATACAAGATCAATACTGTTTTCTTTATAAATTGTTTGGAAAGTATACATAGACCAAAACTAACTTCTAAAAAAGTCAGAATTTTCTTCAAAATTTCATAAAAATGGTCACCAAAGTAGATGAATGCATTTAGAATAATTCATCAGGTTCTCCCTAAATCTCTAGTCACTGCCTGATCACAGCTGAAACTCTCCAGTTATAAAAATCATCCATATCCTCTAAAATGAGTCTAATAGATTATTTCACAGAAATTTACACTATCTTCCAGGAAGACAAGAACCTTACAATGAAAACAAAAAACTTTCATGTTTGAATAAAATATTTTTAGAAGAATATGCACAAGAATTATTTAAACGATAAATAGGCTTACCTTCATTATTGAAATTTAAATATAGGAATGGAGCACAAAGTGAGTCAAGACCTGATGGAGAGAGGTTGGGGGAGAGAATTCAAACAAACATAATCCAGCAGAATTGTAGATATATACCTTATTGAGTTCTCTGCATTATTTCTATATAGATTAAACATTATACATATTACCCATTCAGAAATATATTACCTTATGGGTTATTGTGAGGAGTAACGATAGTGACTGGCACATAGTAAACATCCAATATAAATCAACTATTATTATTATTAATATTATTATGAGTTGAAGAGAGAAATACAGTAACAAAAAAATGTGAAAATGATAAAAAAAAAAGCTTGGGATATAGTCCCATCTCTGACCCTGACTGATATCTTGGCAATCACTTAACTCCAGGCAGGTTTCCTAGTCTAGGAGATGAAAATTTGTCTTAACATGATTCTCTGGGATAATGAAAAAAAAATCCTTTAAAAAGTTGTGAAGTAAAATACAAATACATGACAAATTTCTATTATTGATAATAATGCTATTTGTATGTTATCATGTTGAAAGAATGTACATAAATTTATCTATAATTGTTAGGGAGATATAGAACTCTAGAATGAACAGAGCTAGGAAAAATAATAGCTTCATGTTTAAGGTTGGCCAGAAATAGAGAATTGAAATATAAACACTATTATTTATAACAAAAAATTCAAAAATAAGACTGGGTGAAATGAGTTTCTCATTCATGAATTTATCAATGACCACAAAAATAGCAATGAGAAAAGCTAAAAATCAAGAATATGGAGGATCAAAGATATTAAAAAAAGAGAGACAATAATTAAAATGAGAAGTTTAGGGTGATATCCTACTCCCCATGATAAGTGTAACTTGGAAATCATTAAATGTCAAGAATATCAACTAGCCCAAAATTATTTATGATACAAAATTATTATTTGCATAAACACTGAAGAATATATTCACAAAGATTACAATAGCACAAAATATTCTTTATATTTTCCTAATCATCAGGATGACAAGTTGTCTCATTAAATAGCATGCATTTAAATGATATTAACTAGGCATTTAGACAAAGTAAAAATAAAGTTCTCATATAAACCTCTCAAAAAAATAGAGCATAGTTTTAGTATTGACTTTCCTCAAATCAAGGATATTTTGATATTTATTTTAATTAAAAAAATTGTCAGTCATGCAACATGCTCCTAATACTTCAAAAGGAGTCTTAATAACTAGGGAAAAAAAGTTACCTTGCCAATAAACAAGATCAGGATGGGACACTACCCAGGCTTTTAATACACGCCTGAATTTTGCATGACCTTCTGGTGATGATAACAATTCATCATATTGATGACACCTAGGTATATCCACTTCAATCTGTAAAACAATAAGGTGGAACTGTAACAGAGTGATCACCAATAAACTCCAAGATAAGGAAGAGCACAAATCATACTATGAATTCAGAATAGGCCACCTACATAATCCTGGTGTCTGAAGTTTTTGAATTTTATATTAATACTCTGGAAACAACAAAAAAAAGTTGTAAGTATACTTGGAAAAAAGTTCATTTTTATTGAAAAGGTATGTATTAATTTAGTTTTCAAAAAACCTTCCTTTGCAATCTGGTCTAAATAAAGGACAAATTCTTCAGACAAAAAAAGTACATTATTTGGAAAAGTTACTTGTCCTAAACTCCTTTAAGGAACAGTTTTAACTCACTAATGAGTCAGAGTACATCTTAGAGAGTGAAGAGTTATGCTTCTGCAATATCATATATATATGATAGGTGCTGAGTATTCATAATAAAAGGAAGACAATTTCTCGTGCCTTTTTAAAATTTAAAGATTTGGCAGACTTAGGTTAAGAAAATCTAAATCATACTTGTCTGTCTGTAGGAATTGGAGTATCTTTATCAATTGCATCATACTTGGCTTGAATCGCCCCCTGTAAAAAATAAAAAAGGATATATTACTTCATAATTCCCTTAATAAATTATAAATTTAGGCAAAAATCTACTTATAAACATCTATCTTTGAAAACATACCCAATTATAGACAGGCATATTCAAACTCAAAGTATACTGTTTAGAAAAAATTTCTACATCTTTGATGGTCTGTGACAAAGTGTGAGATAATTAACCATTTTGCTAAGATAGACGTTTGAATCGTATACACCAGAAGACAGTAGTGCTGGATGAGTCACATAGCTAACGAGTATGTTTAGCCGATCTCCCAGCCTCCACAACACAACACAGCCTTGTTGCTCTCTATTCATTATTATCTTACACACAGCGAATTTCATTAAGAAATTTTTTAAAAATTGGGGGGAGTGGTGAGGGGGTCATCCTACAAGAAATTTCCCCATTAAAGTTGGCAATGAAAGCAAAAATAAAATGGAATTGTTTGAAGAAGTAGTAGTTCAACACCAGGAGGCAGAAATTTGGGATGAATTAACGAGTTGAATATCATATCGTTATGAAATGATTAAGAGACTAAAGGAATCATTTACATTTTTAAGTTATACCATTACAGAGGAATAACTAAATCAACCACTTCAAATTTTGGTCATGTTCTATAGGACCAAACATGAAACAATTCTTATTAGTCTGTGTAACCATAATGGTAGAGAAAGAGCCAGGAATTTGGGATTCAAACTCTGACAACACATGTTGTGTCAACTTCTCTGGCACATCTATTTAATGAAAGATTTGGACAACCTGATCTCTAAGCCCTCTTGAACCTTAAGCATTATAAGGTGCTACAATTCTAACTCTTAACATAAGGTACAGAACACTAGATGTTCTTGTAAAGCAACCAACCAAACTCAAAGATATTTAGAGACTCTCATCAAGGGAATCAGGAATGAAAAAAGGAATTCTTTTAATAGAGAGTCAAAAGGATTAAAACACTGGGGGAAATTCACACATAAAAAATAGGTGATGGACATCCATAGTATATCTATAAGAGAATAAAAAAAGGCAAGATGACAAAGAAATTGACAGGAAAAGAAAAAATTTGGCAGGATTTGGCCCATTATCATGACTGCTGTCACTAAAGTTCTCTGATAGTACTGCAAAGCACCCTAATAATTTTGTGACACCTCTTCTTTCCTCAATGCCACAGATAAGGTGTTGTACAAGATAAAATCGCTATTTCTTTTAGCAGCATGCTTCTGGTAAAATGGATGTGCCAAAAGGCACTAAATTATGTTAATGATTTCTGACAAGGTTCAAATTGGACTGGAAGATTTCTCCAAATCTAGACAGAATTACTTATATATAGGCAATCCTATTCCGAGATGAACATTCTTTATAAGCAGGACTACACACTTATAAATATGTATATGTATATATACTTATTCTTAAAATATTCTGATTTTAAAATTAATAACCAAGATAATTTCTGTGAGTCCCACTAAATACATAAATACATATTAATAGCATAAATCTAATAAACCTTCAATTATATTTTTATATTCTATCCAGTCTGTTCTTTTTCTCTATTCTTTTTCCTTAATATTGCCAAATATTCTTATTGTTCATATTTTACTACATAATTTTCTAACAGCTTGAAAAATATGCATCCAGAAAGCACTTTCATTCTTCTTTCTTAGCACTATTAATCAGCTTCTAATCTTTTCTTTTCTTTTTTACCTCAACTCCCAGAAGAGCAGCCCAGGTTAAACCTCTCAAGAGAGGAGGAATGTCAACTCTTGCTTCTTTCCAGATTTGATTTTTTTTATACGGATAAGCCTACAAATTAAAAAAAAAAAGACATAAAAAATATCTCAAATTACCAGTGCCATTGTTTTAATCTAGACAGTTCCGACTATACCAGTGACGTAGTTGAAGGTGAGCTGTGATAAATCTCTGAGCTAGCAGCAGAATGGCTTGCTATCTCTTGTGAATCTCCTATTGTACAATCAAAGAGACGAGCTGATTCTACTGTTTTTAACCATTCCTCTCTATTTTGTCCTCTGGGAGAATTAAGAATGATTCATATGTAGAATAATATTACCAGTCTCATACGTGTAAAATAATGTATATAAAGCACTTTGTAAAATATCTGGTGATACAGAAAGTATCCAATAAATATAAGTTATTATATTTGGCTACTTCTATATCCTTGCATATAAATTTGTCCTTTTGTAAATGTGTACATTAGGAGAGATTTCTAGAAGACAATTACTAGGAAGGGTATGAATATCATTTATGCTCTTGATAGACACTTTCAATTGTTTTACAGAATGTTTCTATAAATTTACACTTACTCCAAAAGAATGAGAGTTCCAATTTCAATATAACTTTATTAAATTTTACTAATTCAGTATGCAAGAAAAGACTATTTTAATTTTTTAAATTCCTAATAAGAACATACATTTAAAAAATATTTGTTTTTGGGGGGGCGGGAATAATTAGGTTTATTTATTTATTTTTTGATGGAGGTACTGGGGATTAAACCCAGGACTTCGTGCATGCTAAGTATGCACTCTACCACTGAGCTATACCCTCCCTTCAGAATACACATTTTGAATAGATTTACTGACTAGTATTTCTGTAGTGCTCTTTATGCATTTCTCTGTTTCAATGTACTTTTTCTGTTGATTTTAAATGTTCTTTAAATACCAAGGATATTAATTTGTCTAATATGATTTTGTATAGATTCCTGCATCTTGTTTACTTTTTAATTTTATGTACTATGGACAGGTATCATTTTTATAATTAAAGTTAATCAGAAAAGATAGGTCATAGGAGTGTTCTCATGGCATCAAGATTCCCAAAGAATTATTAATGAAATAAAAAATAAAGATTGTATATGGGCTCTTATAACACTTTACGCTTGAGAATCCCTACCTTTAGCAGCCTGTCAAAGAGAATGATTCTGTTTAGCTGGTACTCTGTGTCCCTCTCTCGGATGATTAAAGGGAGAGTGGCCGCCGCAGACAGCTCATTATTGCTGTTTGAATGAGGTAAATTGGATTGACTGTAAAAGAGAAACATAAGCAGAAAAACTGACAAAAAAAATCAGAATACCAGACTTTTGTGTTCTATTTAGGAAAAACTTTTCAGAGAAAATGTTCAAGATTCTTACCAATATAATATAAACAGCAAGGAAAAATAAGAGTAAAAGACCATATACTCACTCATCTTCAAGTAGTGGGTAAAATGCTTCTCCACCAACATCTTTTAATCTCTGTGAATTTAAAGAGAAAATATTTATGATATTTAGGATCTGAGACAGAAACACTGATCCATATTTAAAAGGAAAGACAATGAAAAAATTATTAATTTATAAAGGTACCACAAAAACTATAAAACTGAATCTAAAATTCATTCCTAACATAAATATGCCAACATACCAAACCTCCAGTGATTAAACTTAGCTGTGAAGAATAGTTTTTTTGTTTTTTGATTTTTTCACCTCCAGGTGTCTCTTATAAAGGTTAGACACCTATTATAATAGTTTTCCAAAACAATTCAGAATTACTAAAATCAGTATGAAATTTAATAAATGGATAAAACATTTTAGAATTATATGAAGATTATTTTAAAAGGTACTTTTGTGTATATATCTCTTAATTTAAAGCTCAAGTCAGATTTATTTTTGTTTTTGACATTAATACAAACTAAGACAAATGTAAGGTGCTAATAAAAAGGATACAAAAGAATTTCTCACATTATACTTTGAAGATGAATGATAAATCATCATCAAACAGCTGATAAATCACATGACAAAATTCAATTCTCTTATTTTTTTCACAAAGTCATTATAATTAATGTTACTCCAAATAATAACATTGCCAGGCTACAAATACTCTTCAAAAAACATAAGAAGATAGGCAGTAGTACATCAAAACCTCAGACACATGCTAAGCAGGGTGATTACAGTTAATGCCACCCTGCCTGCTGCTTTGCTCTTCAGTTCAGCTTCCAACTGGAAGGCAGAGTGGCTGTTCCTCTGGGGAATGACACAGAAGTTCAAGTTCTGTGTGTGGCCAGCATTGATCTTTTGTTGATTACAGTCATTGTGCACTCATCCATTGAGTTATTCCCAGAATTTTTAAAAGCCAAAGAAAATCCAATACTGAGAATCTGGCAAACATTGGATTCATGCCTGGCATTTCTCTAAAATTTGACATGTATTTAGCCTAGTTTGCCTTTAAACCTTTAGATATTTCATGGATTAAAATTCTAAATTGAAAACTAAGATTTTCCCATATTTTACTGCATTATTAATGTACATAATTTTTTTAAAGCTTAGGTTTTATTGTCCTGAAAGTCATAAATATTATTAGTATCGTTTCTGCTTTTTTTTAGTTAAAAATTTAGCATTTTAAGGTTAAAAGGCAAAAATACTTACACAGAAAAGTATAAGGTAAAAATTATTTGATTTCCATATTATTTTAAAAATCAGCAAATTAACAATTTTTATTAATAATTATGGAAAACAGTATTTCAAATTTCCCAAAGTGGAAATGTAAAGGAATTGAGGAAGTAAATAAGATTGAAGCCTATATTCATTTAACTTGTATTCATATAATTTGGATTATATTTAAATTAAAGAAACAAATTAAGAGTAAAGTTGAAATCAGTTGAAATCATTTATTTGGGATGTACTTTATTGTTTGCTGCCTTGTAGTGATACTTATTTTGTTCACTATGCACATTCTTTCTCTTCAAAGATATGATAAGTTTAGGGTATCAAGTATAATAATTATATATTTTAATTTTCTATTCCTGGCATTATAGCATATAAGACATTCTAACACCCTCCTACTACATAACATGTAAAATATTAAATGACAGGAAGAGCCTAAAAGAGTAAGGAAAGTGCAATGACATAAGACACAAAGCTGGGTTTAAAAGAAAGGAGGTAAGCTAGCACTAAAGTGTACTGATAACTGCAGCCTAGGGCTTTAGAGCACGATGGGACAGAAGTAGCCAAACTGAAGGGGACCCTGCTATACGCAAGTAAAGAAAGAACTCTGTGTGTGAGTGTGTTAGAGGCAGAAGGGAGGATGCTGACCTGTTGGCCTAGTGACAGACAACAAGGAAAATTACATATATTAGCTTTGACCATAGATGTTTAAAAATTTAAAAAGGTTAGAAGTTTTGGTTTCCAGTCCAACACTCAAACAGCTTGGAAGTCATCCTTCCTGTCCTAACAACAAGAAAAAGCTGATGAAACTGAAAATCAACAACTCTTTTTGGATCCATCAGAATCAAGGCAAAATGATCCCTGGAAAAGTGAAGAGATCGGCAAATACAGAGAAGCACAGCTAAGCTGGAGCAAAAGACACTGCTGGAGCCTGGTTAGAACATTTGAAGGGTAACTGACTAACTGTCGCAGATTTAGCAAGGACTAACTTGAGAGATAAAATGTTCTGGAGGCCCAATCCTAGAGGAAACTCTATACTTTCCTGAGTTTTACCTCTAGAAGTCCCATCAAGTTCTCAGGGTGAAGATCTAAGAAAAATTCCCTCATGTCTCTTGTAGGAGGAGGGGCAAAGTAACCATTCTGAAATACTCCCATAGTACTCCATTCTCATTAATAAAGTCCTGCCCTCAAGGGAAACTGTTTTACCAGAGCCTAACTGAGCTGAGGTAAGGGAAATTCAGGAGTCTAGCCCCACTAGTCTCTGGTGTGAGGAAGCGAAGTACCCAAGTTCCAGCTCTCTCTAGCCTTCCTGTCTCATTTAAAGAGGGGGAGGGAAGCTGAGAGGCTCATAGCCCAGAGACACAGGCTCACTACAGTACAGAGACCTAACAATAGGATGAGCCCTCCTATCGACTTTCCTTCCTCACCTTACCTCTGTATGTAGAGTTCCTATATAATTCAGGGGATTCCAGCTGAAAAAACTGCAAGCCTCAGACCCTATTTAAAAGACAATCTCCAAAGAAATCCAAAGACAACAAAGAAGATAAGAACAAGAAGACTTGGGGAAATTTTACCCTCTGACAAAAAAGCTACACGAATAGTAAATAGGTAGATAAACATGAAATCTTGCACTTAAAGGCCTATTTACCACAATTCCTTTTACTGAGATATATATATATATATATATATATATATATATATATATATAATAATAATAATAGTAGATATAATAAAATAAAGTAAAAAGTAACTATAGTACGTAAGGAAAGAAGAAACGAAAACGAACGTAACGTTAACCTTACCGAAACCGAA